ACCCCACAACTTTATGGATGATTTTATGGATTTAATTTTTTGTATTATACTTGAATAAATACGGTATGTCTTTTTTTGTGCATGAGAGCAGATATTTGTGTGTCACTGCCTACTCTAAAAAGACAAAATATTGTGGGGTTTTTTTTTTTTTTTGGTCCCAAATTTTAACATTTCTGTTATTTCCTTTTTACAGACGTCCCATTGCTTCATGTTTTTTCTCATATTTTGTGTTACATTTGATCTAGCTCAGACTTCTGAAGGCCAAACTTTACACTGTGTCTACATCATTTTGCTGTTAACTTATTATTAGAGTTACACCATCATGAAAGAAAGACAGTACAGCCTGTGTAAATGTCTGGGTAATATGTATCATGACAAACCAAAAAAAAGGATCTGATCTTCACCAGATTCTAAAATGTTCAAATTTTACCTCAAGCTTACAACACAAACCACAGATTCCACCGTGTCATGACTTATTACACAAAACAAAGACAAAATGTCTAATATTTGTGTAGGAAAATCCCAGTCCACCCTTGAAATTGTCTTGTGAAATGTAGGAGGCAAAGTATCAGRTGAATTCTGCTGATTTAAATATTTAAATTAACTGATCATAGTGTAACCAGTGTAACCTTTGCCAAAGCATGGATTTTAGTACAGAGCTTCTCTGGAGGGTATTGAGTTCTGAACACAATGTCAATAAAAAAAACAACAGAAGTGCTGTTTCTGCACATCAGTTTGGGAGGAATTGCATTTTCATGTTCAAGCAACTTGGAGTACATCATTTTATAATGAGAACTATTATTTACTAGTGAAAATAACCTAAGGCAGCTGAGACAACCTAGCAAATTTAACCACAAGGTCAGACTTCGTAATGCTCTGAGAAATGACAGAGGATAAAAAAATTAACTCTATCTTAGGTACTACTAGCTCTGCAACTAATGATTATTTTAATAATCAATTAATCTGTCAATTATTTTTTCCATTAATCGATTAATGGGCCAAATCATTAAAACACTTAATTACATAAATATAAGTAGATATAAATTAAATTAATTCCTGTATAAATTAGGGATACAAGTTATCGATTAATAAATTAATATGATGTTGATTTATCTTATAGATTGACTAACAATTAAATTGATAAGCAGCCATTTTATTAAAAACTAGAG